GGGATGTCTGGTCACCTTGACTGTGGCTGGTTTGTTCTTTACCACGCAGCTTCTTGCTGGGTTACAATATATACTAAAATGTTGGGATGTTTCGCTATCTGTTTTCCCTATTTGCTCATGGATTTATCGGAAACTGGACATCAGCACAATGAACCAGTGAAATATCAAATTGTCTGATGTAAAAAACAGGATAATATTGGCACCTGAAGGACTGGAAGAAATTTGACCAAAAAAAAAGTAACTTGTGGCTTCAAAGCCAAACCACATGACAAAAATAATTATATTTTAAGAAATGGATCCAAGAACTTAAATCTGTAGAGACATTTTGTTTTTGAAATTCATTTAAAGAAAGTAGAGTTGCTAATGGGTCATCTGGTTTGGCACTAGATCAAAGTCATAAAGTCCATAATTGCATTCCATGCTTTTCTATGTATATGTCCTGGTTATACTGCATTTCCATTTTCAAACAGCTTTGGTGTCTTTGTTATTTTCTGAAATTTTCTTCTTAATCAATTGGAAAATAAATGACTTACCAGAAACTGCAAACATTATTCACTTCCTGCTGCATGAGCTTTAAGTTCAAGTTAACAAGGAATGGTTAAATACCATATCTCTTTTAGAATTTTAAATAATAAGTGAAAGATTAATTTTGAAACTTGGCTCGGGTCATTGATCTGATGTGGAGGGGAAAAAAAAACAATTCTATGCAGGTGTCAAACCCCACTGAAGGTCAAGGACATTGGAGATGCCTTTAACAAAGAGAAATGTATGGCATTACATTTAGGGAGGAAATAGATATAAAACCATCCAAGATGATTTAGTTCCATTCATTATTTGGAACCAGTTGGAACTGGATATGATCATTAACAATAAGTATAACATGGTCCAGAAATGTGAAACAGCTACTAGAAGTGTTAACTGATTAGATCGCACAGACTAGGCCTTCTCCGGCTGGCGACTCCTCGGGGGAGAGCCTTCTCTGTCGCAGCTCCAGCCCTTTGGAACGACCTCCCCGTGGAGATCTGGACCTTTACTACCCTCCCGGCCTTCCGCAAAGCCGTTAAGTCCTGGCTGCTCCAGCAGGCCGGGGGGCTCTCAAAATATCCAGTCCCACGGAACTGTGACTGTTGTGTATTTTAAAGTGTTGTTTTGTCTATTTATCCCCTTTCCCTTGTCTGTTGTAAGCCGCCCGGAGTCCTTCGGGAGTGGGCGGCATACAACATCAATAAAACTCTAAACTCTAACTCTAAACATGCGCAAT